CATTCCTCCATCTTTCCCCTTCAAATAGGCCTAAACAATGCAAAAAGAGGTAAACAGTTTCTCGATTGCTTACCAGGATAGTGATATCTAGTCGCCAGTTATAAGATAGGTGAGATTCGAAGAAGAATTAAGCAAGAATCATAGGTTTTAAGGTTTACTATCCATGCTTTTCCAGATATTCTAAAAGTTAGTAGTAGCCTCTCACAAGCAACACTTCTCTAGAGGGTTAGCTAAGCAGTACAGATGTTTGGCTATCAGATGTTTGTTATCCTATTTGAAGCTCATAATTTACTGCGTTATACTTCCTGTCTTCCGATCTCCTTTGGTGATATTAGGGATAATTCGGTAGCACTTTTACAACACAACTTCAAGTTTTATCGGGTTTCTGGTAACAGACTTCTGCAACGTGACCATTTAGTTTCCTCATGAAAGATTCAGAAAATTTCATTTGCATTGAAGTTATCGGAGAAAATAAGCAGTAGATTTTTAAGTTAGGTTTATCTTATGTTACTAATGAACACCAGGATTTCCATGGGAATAATATCAGTAATCATAACAGGAAAACGCCAAACATCTAAGGAACGATTTCTGGGAATATTCTTATTCTAAAAGTAGTCACCTATAAGAGATCCGTGATAGTGTCTGTTTCCATCGTAATGCTACTAAAGCATACGAGAGATAGGGAATTCCTGGCTTTTCACATCGTGGTAGTTGTTTCTGCACGGTACCTGAAAGCAAAAAAGATCTGTTTTACCAGGTCGCAGAAGCCAAGAAACACCTGGCTGAGATCGGTCCCATTTGGGTCTTCTCAAGAATTTTAGGTTGAAGTTCAATTGTGCTACCATCGGACATGGAAAACATATACCACCGACACTGAAAGACAGAAGCTAGACAGAAGTGTGGTGGTTTTGTGACGTGTCTTTCCCAAAGGTTCCTTGTAGTAAGAGATGGCAGGACCAGTATGGGATACTGATCATCTTCAGGAAACACTTTACTGTTGTTGTATTCCAAAACAACCAGAAGTTTGACTTCACCATGCTGCTCCCATCATACAGTAAGCCGTTTAGTTTATGATGTTAACAGACACTGATTTCTCTGTTAGTCAGCAAATTGTTTTGACATGGTAGGACCTCAATCAATAATCGTTCAAGGCATCAAAACTTGTTGGGTCATTGTAGTAAGCAAGCCTGACTACCACCTTCAGTTAGAATCGGCCGGTCTGCTTAGGGTCCTCGAGACTCCAAGAATCAATGATCTGAAACTTCGGGTGATATGGTTCAAACAGCTTGGATGTTTACACCCTTTGTCATCTTCCAAGTCTTAAGTATTTTCACTAGTCATTAAAAGCTTATTCCTTTAACATGTATACACTATTTCCTACCTTGATGTCACTATTTTCCCCTTCATTTCCTCTTGACATTTTACTATCAAATAGGGCAACTTAAACTCATGCACTTGTTAGCTAGCTTTTATGATGGTTCGCTACTCAACGCCACTAGAGATATATGTGGTTTCATGAAAATGGGAATAAGTTTTATGTAGTTTGTCATTAAATCCCACTGCATAACAAACATATACTCATAGTCTTTTACTATTAGTCTATCTCGTCACTGCTAGTAAACACTCTTCTGTATAACCTCATGGACCGAGTAAATGAGACTATTTTTTGATCGGGTGGTCAGTTAACTTTTACTGCTTGATAGTGCTTAACGCGTCAATCTATCTTATATTAAAGTGTTAACAACTGAGTCAACCAATCAAATTTTTATCACACTAGGTTCAGTTTAAGGGTCAATCAAAGCGTTTGGCATAATCTAGAAAACCAGAAGATCAAGACAAGCTAACAGTTATTTAGATAAGGTAACGAAGAGTGAATTATTGTTAAAATTAAGATCTCTCGTCGTTGCCAGAATAGAAAAGAAACTCAAGACAGTCAAAATTTCCAGCGTACACTTTCTGTTGTGTATGTTCCGTGGAACTATACTGTCCAGTGTTCTGGTGTAGCATCTCACCATACATCTGACTATTGAATCCAATGAAAGCTTAATTCTGTTTAATTTCAGTCGAAAATCTTATAGGTGGTAAATTTTGTATACGTTTGGTTCTACCCCACTAACAATCTATGGATAGGAGGTTGTCTGATTTCCATACTCATATATAAGTTTCTTTTTTTCGACGTCTTGATTTCCTCATGTAATTTGAATATGTAAACGATAAAATCCTCTGAAGACCACATGAAATGAAGAAGGTTTTATTGTTACTTTTAAGGTAATTCTGAAATAAAGGAGTTATAGATAGGGAATAGAGACATTTAGTCATAACCATTCTGTTTTTATAATTCCGTGTTGTTCACTCTACATAAATCAGTCGATGAGAGCATTTTTTGATATAATTGAAACCTGATTTTTGTCATGAATGGAATTATGGTATTGTTTATCATGTAATAGCCTGCTGTGGTGTTCTTGTCTTGTCTTTCATACTATTGAAGGATATGCTACTAAATGTACTTGCATTTCTACGATTTTCATCCTGCCACGATGAAGCTTAAATCCAGCGCACATTCATTAGACAATTAGGCTAAAAACGCCACCACTAATTCAGATGGCGTTAACTGAGTTTCATTTAAATGGATTTGTAGTCGTTGAACTCTATCACTACAGGATTATGTCTACAGACGCTTTGAAGATTTATACTATTCATCTTATACAGGCATTTGTCTGGAGTATTTGTTGGGCAATTGTCAAGCAGATCTCACAAGTGATAATTGCTTGACATTCTTAGGATAGAGAACAAATATCTTTGAAGGCAGACAAATAGAAAGACAAAATAAACGTAGAATCTCGCACACAAGTGGACCCGTCCAAGTTACCATACTTCACAGTAGTATAAAAAGAATAGGTGGATAGTAAAAGAGTGATATCAAAGTAGATAAAGTAGTGTGAAAGAATAAACAATATGAAGATAAAGGTTAGTGTGAATATTCAAGCTTTAAAAGGCATCAAGGCGTGAATACATCTGAACCATTGTGATCGATTTTCAGCCATGTCATCAAAAGTCCTCAACCAATAACTTTTTCGTTCCACACACTGCTCATACAGAGAGTTAGGAACTTCATGGACTAGTGCAACGTTTTGGTCTTGCCATCCTAAACCATCTTCTAACTTGATCCAACTTCCCTCAGCATGTAACATCGAGGTGTGTGGTGGCTTGGCATGAGCAGTACATGTCCACAACCTCATCAATTGATCTGCCCGTCTTCCCTAGTACTTTTCCTCTGACCTCAGCATCGCTCACACGGTGATTCCACCGAACGTGAGCAATGCTACAAAAACATCTGTGATTAAGACCTTATAATCGCTTCATTTCTTTTATTTTTAAGTGTCATTTTTCATAACTGTATAACAGGACAAAGCTCATAGAGTATGCCAGCAGTTCGAGAGTTTTAAACCTTCAGAGTATTTTATGTTGGTCGTTTAATTGGAATGAAAGTTCGTATTAGATTTCCTATTTCATTTCTTCTTATAAGTTCCATCAACTATCATGAATCACTGAGAACGACCATAGATCGGTTTCTTGTGTTTCACCTGCATCTTTGAAGAGTAAAACGGCTACCGATTAGTTTGTATTCTCATGGTTGTCATCACTATCCCTACTCGTTCACTTTAAACTTAATGAACACTCGTTATGTAGCTGAAGGCTGGAACAGTAACGTTCAACTTTAAAATAATGTCAAAATATTCACTCGTGTCTAACTGTCTCATATGTAAGTACTTCCGCCGTTTATTCATCTTTGCGTTGATGAATTCTAAGTTTACTATGGTATTTATTTTGTTCTACCAGATTAGTAAAGTGCTACCAAGTTGTCCTTCTTAGGTTGCACTTATGATGGATACGAATAAATAAACCTCTCGTCTCCTAGTCAAAGTGTCAGGCGGCAGTTTCGTTAGTGGTATTGTTTTCAAACAGAGTCATATCAACTGAATCCTACTGTAGACTAAGTTTTAAGACAATACCGTCAATCGGGAATAACTTCTGTATCTGTTGACCACTTTGTAATGTTCTACAAGTAGTTTTGTCAGTGTTATTACATGAGATATCCGTGTTTGGCATACTGGTATTACCAATGCTGGAAGATGACTGGAAAAATGAAAATGTGGGACACATCAGAATTTGAACTAGTGGTCTCAAAGTTACTAGCCTGTTTCTGTACTGATTGAGCTACAAGCAAAAGCCAACTGCTAATCAAATCTTCTTTTTACTTCAGTCACAGAGCGTTTTGTCCGGCTGCCATGTGAATCCATGATACATAACTCTTCTTTTATCGTAGTACCTAAGAAACCATCGGTTTAAGTCCTGTCACAGTTCAGATTTTCATTTCACCTTCAGTTTTAAACAGTCTCAATAATACAAGTCAGCCAAGTCAAGTGACAGTGGCTTACCAACCAAATTTAAACACATAAGGCTAATATTTTTAACGTGACTCATATACCTTTATATTAAGGTGACTAATTACTCAATACAGTTCCCCCAAGACCTATTTGAATAAATTTTGCTTAAATTATCGAAGGAATTTGAAGTAAAGTTAGACTGCATCTCATTAAGCACGGACATCTTCATATGCTTAGGTCTGAAACACATTAATTCGATAGATGGTTCAATGTCTTCTGAGCTTTGAAGTTTATCTTTGTACATCTCGTTACCCCTTTATGTAGTGATTGCTGGTGATGAAACATCCCGTACCTAACTTCACATTTTGGAGACAACCAAGGACTTGTCATTCTCAACTTGACCTATAATGCGTCTCTATATGAATTCTGCTTCCTAACTTATGAACTTGCTGCAATGTTCAGATTCATTGGAAGAGACCATGATTTCTGGATTCCATCTGAACATGAGAGCATGAGACTAGAATTCCTTAAAGTTAGACAAATAGGTAAAAAAACATTTTATTCTTATTTCTTAAATGACTCATAATCAAAGTCTCTTTTCTTTTTATCCAGTTTCCCATTGGCTAGGTGGAACTGTGGCCGCTGCAAACAATGCTGTTGATGGAATTCAACTTGGTTGTGATTTTCGTTACTTATTCAACTCAGATTTGATACATGAAATTTCTAATGATCCAGTAAATCGTTTCAAATCGTCAATAAAGTCAAAAAGTTCACTGGGAATAGGAAATTGTGCCTTATACACTGGAACATCTATGCAGTATGTATCTGTGGATCCGTGTAATAGTCAAGAAGAAGGCGCTTGTCTTGCTGGATTCAGTGCTGATGTTCAAGCAGGTGAGTGATATCTAGATTATCTGTCTTCAAGTTTGACTTGAAGACGAATATGTATGAGAAATATGTTCATAAAGTTTCAAGTTTTAGCTCATTTCCTATGCAGCTTAATATGCTTTAAGGTTAACCCCGATGATACGTGAATGTCCTGTTGAAGAGTAGTATAAAACACCAGTTATATACTCTCCGTTTGAATGGTGTTGACTACTGATAAAAAGTCACCTTGAATATGGTATTATTATTATTTTCCGCTTGGATTCCTAGTGAAACATACGGCTTCACTAGCACGCCTCCATTACACTCTCTTGTATCCAGTCTTTTCAACCTGGCTCCAAGACTGCCCACAAGCTCTCATTTCTTCCTCACATGATCTCTTCCATATTACCCTCGGATACCCAACTCGTTGTATCCTCTTCGGATTCCACTCGACGATCTGGTCTGACACGTGATATCCCCAATCGGTCTTCTTAGTGTATGCCCAATCCATCTCCACTTCCTTCTTCTTCTTCACGTTTGTTGGGAGATAGGTGCTTGGTTGGTTCGTTGCCAGCCACAGTTCCTCCTTGCTTATTCTTTCTGGTCACCTGATCTTCAGTGTTGAGAGTAGGCAGTTGTTGGTGAATGTTTGTAGTTTGTTGGAAGTGCTTTTCGTGATGTGCCAAGTTTCTGAACCATATAGAAGCACTAACTTGACTGGCACTGGTGTTGAAAATCCTGATCTTCAGTATCAAGTGAGTTTAGGAGGCAGCTTTTGATGAATGTTTGTATGAATGTGGTATATAAATCAATAAATTGATAAATGGAAGCAAAAACCAATTACATGAATCAACTGTGACTAAAAAATCTCTGCTTTCAAGGGTACATTGCTACCATTTTCGAAGATTCTGACAGTAAATTTTATGCCAATGTATTACAGGTTCTGTTAGGTTTAGAATTATCCAGTGGTACAGATTTTACAGGACTAATATTCAGCCTTTATTACTAATTAACAATCCTGTCAGTAGTTGAAACGTATAACGAATTAGGAATCATTTTATTGAATATTATGAAGACATTGAATCATAAGCCATTGGTTGAACTTATATCTAGGTCAATATTTGGCTGGGTAACTCAAAAAGCTATTCAGACTGAGAATTGACCTACGAGTCAGATGACGATACTGCTAAGAAGTAAGCTATCCTATATGATATCAAGATAAGTGATTTTACTGATAAATAAGGAATAACAATAAAAAGTTTACAGTCATCACTGTCACATATGAATGGAATGGTATGAAAGTTCTTCTTATTACCATATCCTCTGTACATACACAATTCCTCTTGAAATGTTCAACATGTGTTATGGCGCCAAAATCACAACCTTAGTTAAAAATCATTTAATTTTTGTCACAGTTAAACAACAGAACAGTATCGTTTAAAGTAAATCGTTTCATTTTGATCACAAGAGAGACATTGAACATTTGATGACTAACAACATTAATCATTTTTGTAATAAATTTCAACTTTCTGATTCTTCTATAACTGAATTCTGAAGAATGTGATATTAACTTAGCTGAAGTACTAAGCATGAAGATGCTTGTAGACATTTTTGTATGGCGGCAATGAAAAAATAATAAAGGCATACTGAATAAGAAAGTGAAACTTTGATCCTTGTAAGAATCCGTTCAGTTATTTACTAATTCAATGAATAGATTCTCTGATAGCTTTCGATCAGTGCTAGATAGTTACCTAAACTCATGTTTCAGGTGAACATAAAGAGCAGAAAACATGATAGTTTAAAGATTACATAACTGTATCTGATAAATTAATTGTTGGAAGTTAACTTATTGTTCTACCAAGTACAATAGTTCGGTAAGTGTATTTATAAGTGAACAGTCGTTTTTCACGGCAGCCTGTTTGAACTTTGGGTTACCAAATTTATCCATTGATCATTTTTTTCATCAAATCCTTCCTTTTCAATTTGTTTGAATCATTGAAATATGTCTTTTGAATGTATCATGTACTCTTGCATATTTCTAAGCTGTTTCCAACTCTCCTCATTCTGGAGTCAGTAACAAACCAGGGAAAAAAGTTACGTGATATGGAAATGGACTTTTCGAAGAAACAAAAGTACATCATATTTCTATCCATCAGAAGCTTAGTTTGAGTTACAGACTTTTATACCGTCTGAAGGAACCGTCAACATCAAAATTAGGCTTGCATTTGTGTTTATTCTTTATTGTGGACCCGATGTTCATCCAGAACCGACTGGTTATTTCATATTATTGCCTTGAATACTGTTATCATTAACATCATTCCGATGTAATGACCATTTCATCTGTTAGTATTGTTCTGGGAGTGAATTTTCTGGAAAATTACATGCTGAAAATTCCATTCTGTTATATATAGTTTGGAATAAAGCGATTATTATTATCGTTACTATTACGAAATAAATCCTACAGTAATAGCGTTGGATTGTTTACAAAGACATTTTGATCACAGTCTTTAGAACCTTGAGATTGTGGGGAATCGACTTAACTGGTGTAGAACGAAAGCTCTGACATTCATTCTGTCTTCATGTGTTGGTGAACACATCTCAGAACTTGATCATAAGTCTAATGATTTGTAACTCAACAGTGAAAGTTAATATACAGAATCATTTATGATGACCAATAAGTCAACACTGATTCTTTGTCCACCTACCTAGTACTCAACACCCAAAATAAGGTATAGAGATAAAGAGTGAATGCGATCTTTTTTCATCGAATTCACTTAATTTTTTGACTCCAGCGTACAATGTGTTTCTTTGACTCCAAGGAAACTGATACTTGGATGGATGAAATTTTCATACTTCTTCCTCAGATTAAGCCTAATTAGCATTGTGTCATTCCTCAGCACTGTCGTTACAAGATAACTCATTGAAACCAATCTGAAGATGATTACTTCTGAACAATGAAGTTTAGAGCGTTACTTTAGTTCTTACCAAATAATACAGTGCATGGTGTATCCTTTCACTACCAGATTTCCAGTCTTCGTATACTGCAAAAGTAATGTGTTGATTACGAAGAGGAATCAACTCATTAGTACCATTTATTTCATCGAACCATAGATATATAAGTATGTATTCAGTTAAATCTCATTGCTTAGAAGCTAGAAATAATTGTTGTAATGTATGCTTTCAAATTAAATCCTTATATAACATTCATACTAAGGTAGTAATATACCTGTTTCACCAGACTCACATCATGTACTTCGACTACATAGACCGATAGTCCCAGTTCCACTCGAAGAGTTCAGTAACACACCATTAAATATATCAATGAAAAGTTTGTGGATTGCGGGATGGGTAAATATTATAATTTGTTTGGTTGTGGCTAGCAGAACAATCCAGGACGTGTGTTTTGTCCTATCCGGGACTCGTCAGCTGGATGTACCTGCACCCCAGTGATGTTGTTCTCACTGAGACTCGAACCTCGTACCCATCGCTTCAAACGCCAAGGCGTTATCCACTATGTCACAGAGGAAAGATAGCCACTTCTTGTACAACGGTGATAGTTATTACTATTTATTGATATACTTGTTATTCTTCGTTGTTTTGTTGGATCAAATTGTTCGGCTATCGTTCCTCTGTGGCATAGTGGATAACGCCTTGGCGTTTGAAGTGGTTGGTATGAGGTTCCAGTCTTAGTGGGAACAACATCACTGAAGTGCAGGTACTCTATCAGACGAGTCACAAATAGGACGAAATGCACGTCCTGGATTGTTCTGCTAGTCACAACTAACCAAATTATCATAATTAACATTCAGGCAACATCGAGGAGCCCATATGCCAATAGAGGTAAAACAATTCGATCCAACAAGACAACGGAGAATAACAAGTATGTCAATAAGTTGGATAAGTACTGTTAATATATTCCAATCTGTTGATGTAATCATGCAAGGTAATTTTGCTTGGAATTTTATCAAAATAAAAACTTATTATTGTATGCAAAGTGAGTATTAAGTTCACGATTTAAAGACTTCCACTGCATACCTTAAAGTCTACAGTACATTAACCATCTGTGGCTGACATAGTTACTCGATAAATCGCTTATTTTGATAAGTGAACCCTATTTTATCTCAGAATCAAAGATTAGCTGTAGTCACCTCTTGTGGCAATATGAAAGAAAGTGATGTAAATGAAAATCAATATTTTAAGTCATCAGCCGCCAAGGTAGTGATTTGGATTTCACCTTTTATTTCATATTACTGTGTGGTCAGAAAAACCGTATCGGACAGTTTATTCAACAACTGGTCAATTAAAATTAGTTATTTAACTTTGGCCTAGCGGTTTTACGTATTCATGAAAACTGTATGTACTGATGTATATTTTTTGAGGTGACTTCTTTACAGTCACAGGACTGTTTTCGCCTTCTGATTTTTCGTGGCTCAATGAAGCATAAGTACTGAGGGAGAATGGTCAATATTCATAACCAGTTCAAGTATTTCATGGCATTAGGATATTTCTCGTATTTCTTATTAGTATTCACCAGGTCAGTTCAAATACTCACCTAGTTTGGAAGCAGCAAAACACATCATTTGTTTTAAAAATCATTCTCCACGTGATTTGCAGTGGGCGAAAGCCCACGGAAGTCTAAGGTACTCCACATACGTAAGAAATGCTGAAAAAGATCTTTTGGTCCTAGACACCTTTCTTCTAGGCCAAATTATTTAATTCTTACTAGTACGTATTGAAGTAAAATACCAAGTAGTCACTGAATACTTGGTACAGTGGAAACAGATTTCGAATTTATCGTACAAACTGGTAGCTTTTTCATATGATGTCAATTGAAGAAGATAATTAAAACGGTGTGTCACTGAGTAACGTTTTTTCCTAATTTAGAAATTGTGAACACTGAAAACTTACTTTCACGGACCAGCGTTGGGCGACGGGAACCGACGAAATTTTTGATTAAACTGTTTCAGATAGACAGGGTCTAGGAGCCTGTTATATATGATATGAGATGATGACTGGAGAGTTCGAGCCAGCAGCTTATGCGTCACTGACCCGGTATTCTGTCGACTGAGATTTAAGACCACCGAAAATTTCGTTCAGCTGTCTTGTGAATGTGTAGTTGGTGATTGAAGCAAAAGTGAGATGTAGTTGGCAGTCAAGTCTGCTTGTTCACTTGATAGACTGTCCTATCGGTAACTGAAATGCTTCTTATTCGGACCGTATCACGACCAAATCTTTTACCCCACTTTCAGTCATCACTTCGTAACAAATTAACAGCAGCTTTTTGTTAAGAGAGATTAATTTAACGACCAACTAATTTTTAATCATTTTTATTTGTTCATTTTATCAGGTAATCGAACTGGTGAAGCATTTATCGCACTTGGGATGCCTGGAAGTTATCTGACAGAGGGCAATATCTTTCTAGGCCGTTATCATGGTCGTGAGTTAATCAATGCGATTCGACTGAAAAGTTCTTCACATGATTTAAAGCATAAGGGTTTCGGTTTAGGCTATGCTGTAGCTTTAGCTAAACTGAATAACAACAATGAAAAATTTACAGGGCAACCACCACCACCACCATCACAACAGCACCAAGAAGATCAACAACACCATTTTCAGTCTCATATCAATATACTTGCATCGAGTCCAATGTGGATTGATAATGACTATCGTGGCATTATAATGATATTGAATCAAGCTATGGATTTAGGAGGGGTAAGTGTTCGCTTTTCATTCTGCGCTCTTGCCTTTAATTCGTTTCGTTCTGAAAATAAGAGATAAGAATATTAGAGGTTTCAGCTGTAAAACAGCTGGATATTATGGAGATCTGGGCAATTCTTCTTTCATAGTTCTCAATCGTGAAAGCTTACAGAGTGATAAAATCAGTAGTAGCCTTCCCGACCATCGTGTTAATGACAGATTTAATCACCACCTGTTGTCACCAGCATTTCAGTTTGAGGGTTGATTTCGTTAAAGATTCGATGAGAAGACGCAATCAGTGAATTCAATGAACTTGGTGTTCATCTAAGGTCCTTATCGATTAGTGCAGAAAGTGGCACATTGGGTAAGAAACCACTCATCCAGAAGTGAAGATATAAGCTCAAGCAACGCCTTCAGTTTCGGAAAGGTTCAAGTCTTTGTCCTTCAGATCATCTTGCGGATTAGATTACGAGACCTGGCTGTTAACTATGCCTCTCTTTCAACTTAGACTGTAATACTCATTTGTCTTCTGAACGATAGACACATAACTGTTTGCTCACTTACACAGTAACCATCTGTGCACCTATTGTGGTTCGGATTCAGATCAAGCTAAACTAGACGAATGTTATCTTCATTCATCACTCTAAAAAATCTTGTCTCCTAGCTCGAACTATCGCAAATAGTATAACAGTCATCGTTTGCGACTTTGGGATAAAAGCTCTTTCACTTTGATCCACAAACGCTGATGCCGAAAGTTTGCATTTGGAAGGCGTTAAAAGCCGCACGCACTACGGAAGCTAATAATACAAACCGGGATGTGTTCTATCCCAACTCATCTCCGAACACTATCCTGCATAGCTGTCCAAATGACAATTTAAAGCCGTCAACAGCTTGATTCTTGAGCATTTGGTTATATTTAGTATTTGTGCTCCGCAAAAATCTTCTTTCAAAGTCATTTATAAGGTGAGGGGAAACATTTCGAAGAAAACAGTTTCATCTTATGAGATATCTTGTCCTACCTTTCAGTCATTTAAGATTGCTCATGGCAAATATATCGACTACTCAGGTATAAGCCTGAAACTAGTGATATTTAGTTCAGTTTACATGTATTCTAGGAAAACTTCCCCTTTAGGATCTCAATGATAGATGGTTAGCAACTTATTTAAGGCTGTAATGTATGCTACCTGGTCACTAAATTGTGTCTAAATCCCTGAAAGTACTTTGTATTAAAAAGATAAATTCAAATTCCTGATAGTTCAGGACTCCTATCTATATTGAACCTTTCGTCTATGCTACCTACATGCTCTGTACCATCTCAATAAAGGTATCCATTATAATTTGGGTATTTGTAGAGATTTAATGATTTTTTGAAGTTAGTATCCATCAATTGAAGGAACATTGGAAACTTGGGAGCACTGGACAACTTTTTCGTCCTAGTATAGGACTCCCCAGCTGTGCACACTCATGACTTTACCCAGCACCTCCAGGTTCCGTGGCCTGCACGTTATCATCCAGCGACTGGGTTGGAATCCAGTGATCCAGTGACTCAGTGGCTCAATGGTAACGTACTGGCTATGGAATCTGAAGGCACTGGGTGCGGTCATGGGTGCGCACTGCTGAGGTTCCCAATGTTCCCCCAAGGGATATCAGTCCATGATGAATATTAACTTTAAATAATATCTATTTTACTTAAACGTTTTAAGTATGTTCAATCTTCGAAACTAACACCAAGTCAACAAATCAGTTGATGTAGCAATGTCTGTTGATTTCCTTTAAAAAATTACGTTAAGAAAGTGAAAGTTGAAAGAAAATTATCATCATCATAGTATTGACCCATTATTATTATTACTATTGTTATTATGATTACTGTTATTTTCTGTTTTATTCTGGATACAGATCACATATTTGAAAGATAAATGGGGTCACGTTGGCAGTTATTTCGGTTATAGGTAAGTAGACCTGAGGTTATAATTTTCAGTTTCTTGGTTTTTCAAAAACATAAAATAATTCAGGAGAGAAAATTTTCTTTTCCACAAATCATCTTCAACAGCTGTACAATCGAGTTGATAGTAATAACAAAGAAGTAGATGAGTCTATCACTGGCTAACGAAAAGGTAAACATTAGGTCATCAAAATGAAATGTTCTGGAATGGAATAGTGGGACGATTGTAGAGGCTAACAGGGATAACGTGATCATAGAGTGTATAAGTAAAATCTGCAGCCGACTAACGTGATGACTAGTAGGTTAGAAAAATTAAACAGATCGAAAATAATAATACTAATTATTATCAATTTTTTTTAATCATTTATTATTTGTCCTTTGGGTTCAGTAGCATGTCGCCATTTCACTCTCTCCTCTGTAGTCTTTACAACCTAGCTCCACGACTGCCTAGAAGATCCCATCTCTCCCTCACATGATCTTCTCCATGTCACCCTCTGACACCCAAATCGTCTCTCATTTGAGTTCCAATCGAGGAACTGGTCTCCTTAATGTATGTTCCATGAATCCCAATCCATTTCCACTTTCGTCTGCATATTTGCTTGGCGATAAGTTGTTGGTTGGTTAGTTTGTTGCCAGCCACAATTCCTCCTTGCTTATTTTTATTGTTCTGACCATCTCATCTCCATCTTCAGTAACGAGTGAGCGTAGGCGGCAGCTGTTGATGAATGTCTGTAGTTTGTTAGAAATGCTTTCCGTAATGCGCCAAGTGTCTCAACCGTCACATGGAAGCACTGACTTACTTGACATTAATGTTGAAGATCCGGATGTTGTTCACGGTTTATGCTGAGTGCAGTGCAATAGATCTCCACAGTGATTATTTCAGATTGATGAAGGCCTGTCTTGCTGTCTTTCCGATCCTGGCTTTGACGTCTTCATGTGTGCCGCCACCACCTGTAGTTGAAATGATTCAATTTAGGTAGGTAGATGAAACAGACAACTTCCCTTAGATTTCTCTCGTTGATGGTGATTGGCACTTGTTGTTTTTTTGTGTTGGGTTGGGTATCCTTATCACCTCCGTCTTCTTACATTCACCTGAAGGAAGTCTCGTCTTTCCTCGCTACCTCACCTCTTCTGTCAACTTATTAGCCTTGCCGGTAAATCTTCGAGTTCGTCCAACATGACATTAGACATAAATCATCATCGCTGGCGAAATTTAAATCTTCTTTTGGTGTCTTTTCATTAGTCCAGTCAGCTTATGCTCATCTTCTCTCTCCTCACATTTTGTTGCATAATCCAGTCCAGTTGACCACAATCACGAAGATGATCAGTGATAGTAGGCGGCAACCTTGTCTTACTCTTCCTGTTTTCACTTCAAAGGCATCGCTGAGCTGAGCTTTTCATTGTGAATCACTTGGCATGTTGCATTATATGGCATATAGCTGTTGAATGAGGTTGGTAAGGGCTTGTAATACTAAAGCCGTAGTATTGAAGCAGCTGCTATAATCATAATCAATAGTTGAAGTGAAGTATAATGAGAATTCTGATGGGAGATTGATGTCAATGTTAGGACGTGGAAAATTAAGCTGTGAATTAAGAATAAAAAATAATGATAATCAGTCAGTAGAGTCAGTGAGATTAACTTTGAAGCAGTAAAGGAACTCAAGGAAGGATTATGATCGCAGCAAAATAAGAGAATGGACATATCTCTTATGCGGGCAGAACTCAGGCTTTAACTGAAAAATCCTTACTCCTTTAGAGGTGTTCGACTTGATTTTGTATGGGATTTCGAAAGAAGACTGTTGGGGAAGTGAAGTGATCAGAGTTAACTATTATTATTTTCGACCTGTTTATTTTTTAACCCACTAGTCATCACGTTAGTTGGCTGCACATTTTACTTATACACTCTATGATCACGTTATCCCTGTTAGCCTCTACAATCGTCCCACTATTCCATTCCAGAACATTTCATTTTGATGACCTAATGTTTACATTTTCGTTAGCCAGTGATAGACTCATCTACTTCATTGTTATTACTATCAACTCGATTGTACAGCTGTTGAAGATGATTTGTGGAAAAGAAAATTTTCTTTCCTGAATTACTTTGTGTTTTTAAATGTCTCAGTGTGATTCTTTTATTGGTTATAGCGTAGAAATTTAAATTTAGACGCTTGCGTTGCGCAATGCAGTATGATCACTGGTCTCTTTCGAATTAAACGGCTGATCATCGAATATATTGGCAGTCAACAATTGAGATAATGCCAAAAGTATACGTGCATTGAATATTTACGATTGTCAACAAAATTACTCCATGAATATAACCTTGAATGCTGTTTTCAGTGATATTAAACTCCCAGTGGAGAAGAAGTTGGACAACCAACTACTATTCTTAGATGTTTCATTCAGTGGGATAAATGCTGGAAAACTGGAAACCCAAGTATACAGGAAGCCAGCACACACTGATTAAATCCTCAACTCAACCCAAAAACTCACAAAACAGTTACGCACGTATTCTACTAAAACGTTCGAGAAAGCACTGCAGTACAACAACTTCATGCAGAAACGAAGAAAATTACCTGATGTCCTTCCTAAAGAAGAACGCTACCCACGAAAACTTATCAGGAGATGCCTATCCCGTACATCATCAACTTTAAAGTTATTAACTAAAATCAACAAACGCATTATCCTACCGTACATGAAGAATATATCAGAAATCATGACAAGATTACTGGGACCACTTGGAGTTGGTGTGGCTCACAAACCAGAAAATTCCCTCCAAACACTATTATGCAAACCAAAGGATGCAACAACCAAAGAAGTCAAACCGAATATCATTTACAAAATCAGCTGCAACAACTGTGGTGAACGCTACATTGGAGAGGTGGTCGCCCTCTTCGCCTTCGCCTGCATGAACACCAATTGGCTATTAAACGTCACGACATTTCCTCATTCATTTCTATTCATTACTTTGTTTCAAATCTATCTAACACCTTCCCAGCCTTCATTGTGTAAACAATCCAATAAACACTTAAGCATATAATCATTGTCTAAGATAACCGTGGTTTAGCAGACTAGTATTTATACTGCGTGATGAATGAGAGTGGAAGGGAAATTTGGACCGCAGCCGGATTCGAACTAGCAACCATCGGGTTCCCTTGCTCGATTCCCTACCAACTGAGCTATGAGGTCCATATCTAAAAAACTAGAGTCGAGTTATATTTTTAGTGCTCGTTATCAAATGAATTTCGAATGAATAAGGCCAATTTGCGTGAAAAATTTATGCTCTTGAGTTCATTCAAATGTCATTCAGTCTCAACGATCTATATCACGTCATAAGATATATCACAATATATTACGGATTATTTGCTTTGAAAAAATCAGTTGGTTAAATCGAAAGGAGTGTTTTCAAGGTTATTGTGCTACATAGTAACTTTCAAGTTTAAATTTGTCAGTTGTATAAACTTTTCTTAGGTGTGGAGTACTTTACAACTGAATAAAGCGATTTCCCAACACTCATTCAATGTAAGTGGATACTCATCTGTCATGGTAATGTGTTAAAGGCTCGCTCACAAAAGGATAGATCCAGAGTGACTTTTAGAGCCAGTTGTGTCAATGTGTCTGAATTCCTAATAGGATACAACTCAAACATCTTTTTCCTATCACTTGTTAGTAATAATTTGCCTGATGTATAAAGATTTACATAAATAAAATTAGAGTAGTGTATATTTTTAAACTAATCTAGAAGCTCATGTTCCGTTGATACAGTAACTATTGAAACATTGAAATACAGCCAAAAACTAATCATTCTATTATCAATGTCTAGTAGTATGAGAGGAAAAATTTTATAATCTTATGAACTGTATTCAGTATGGTTTAAAATTGTACAGAGATTAAAAAATCTTGGAATGAAAACTACTTTTCTTTCGTTACTTTGTTTATTTTTCAAGCTATATTGAACGTGTTCGTTTATATTGCATACATTTAAAGAAAGTCATATTTTGTTTGATTATTCATGTGATCACTTTTTAAGTATTTGTATCACTAACTAGTAAACACAAGGTGTTTGCATGTTAGGCATAAACTTTACAGAAACAACTTCATTTTTGCAGTAGAAAATTTTCCCACATTAGTGGAGTTTGGATGTACATATGGTAAATCTTTTCCTCTGAAGTATTAACTTTACTCTTGATAGTCAATCGGGTAAGGTCGACAGTTTGTTCTAAATGTAGGTTTCATTCGTGTGCTACTGGAAGCTTGCGGGTAGTCGACACTTCCCACCTACCCACACTGTAGAGGGTTGATTCTTCTTAAAGTACCTGAAAGATAGATTTGTGTGACCACAAAGCGATATCTTCTTGAGGCCTGTCACCACCGGCCTTTTGTTTACTGTTTTTTTTCATGTTCGGTAATTCTAACACCATAAGGAAAAACCCATACCGCCGAAACTTGAAGACTGTGGGTCAGGGCGGAGTGTGCTTACTTTGGAGGCCGACCTTTCTAACTTCCCTTTTCCATTTGGAAGGCAGCATCGGTGTGACGCTGCTGGTCATCAAAGAAAAATACCTTATTGCTGTCACACCCCCATCCAACCCTCAGACCCCCATCATAGTGTAGTAATTTACACTACAACTACACTACACTACCAATAGACCTTTCTGGTATGACAGGAACTCGAGGGAACAAGCTTCCCACCATCATAGTTCGTTGGTTCATTGTGATATGCAACCCCGACCACTTCATCAAGGTGGAAGCTATCAGCCGATTCATATATGTCAGAAATCTGAAACAATGCATCCTGGCTATCCATACGATTGAAACCATAAGAAGAGACACCTAGTGTTGTCTTTGATAGTTTGCAAGAAACGTATTGCTTTGTTATGTTGAACCACTGAGCCTACTGACTGCAAGACAGAGTTCATTCAATAAATCTCCGCTAAACAACTAAGCTAATTCCCCACTATAGTCTATTTGATGGCTAGCAGTGGAATCCAAGATTCACTTTTCGTCCTA